TTCGTGACCTGGTAGTTAGCTCCGAACCATGAGGCCATCCACAATCACGAAGTTCCGAGAGAGCGAGCTAGATCATGATGTGCAGATAAAGGGAAGAAGGATGCCTGCACATTTTCCCTGACGACTGATGAAATGCCTTGAAGATGATTTGACAATGACAGAAACTAGCGAAGCAACGCTGTTAACTAATCACCAAATGTTTTTCCAGTTGAAGTTTGACTTGACTGCCAGTATGCTTGGACAGTTTAGTTACTCCGTACTGTTTAACGAAAAGTAGGCACGGTAACTACATGGCGACTTGTTGCGCAGACCTGAATGACTCTGGAAACGCAGCCTCTTTGAATTGTTTTGCCGAGCAAGGGAGTTTAGGGAGTTTTGATATAACTTGTGAAGAATATATGTTAACTGAGGAGTGGATATGTAAAGGCATGCTAGCTATACGACTGCCTTACAACCCAATTCAAAGGCCTTCCTCTTCTTTTCCCTCCTCTTTACCACTGCCGAAGCTGGTAGACTTCGCCCATACGAAGGAGCGTCACTGGCTGTCACCAGCCGCGCCTAGGCTTCTATTTCCTAAGATTGACGTGATGAATAGTCATCATATAGAGACCACTTGATTTAGTTCAATTGGGCCATTAACTACTTACACCACCGCAGTAGTAGCAATCCGTCTGTCAGCATGCTGGTCGAGTTTGCAGGTTGAAGTTTCGGGATGCTCTGGAAGGAAAGTAGCCGCTCACGAGTGTGGGACGGTGGAATCTACAGCGTTCCTATGTTGAGCAAATGTTGTTAGTTTCTATCACTCGTGGAGAAGTAAGAGTCAACAGAGTACTCACCCCACAGCATTGGGGCACCCTTGCTGGTAGACAGCGCCCATAACTAGGGATGCATTTTTCATTTCCTGCTAATGCAGAGCCAGTTTTAACAGCCGAAGGACATGGTCAGCATAACATCGACAAAACGAGACCTGGCTCATTGTGTATATACTTGTACCATCTGTTGGCGCCGAATGGCCGGACATAAGCAGGAGAGTCACAGCGGAGAGCTTCATGGTCGGAGAGTTGAGGCCGTATAAATAACTGATCGTTTTCGGGGCAAGGGGAGAGGAGTAAGTGAAATATCACGGGGGTGAATTGTATTTGCCAGAAGAGACGGAATCACTGGCATTTATATCTTCAAGCCCTGCTTCATTGACAGGAGCTCTGGCGCCAAACGCAGCACTTCTCCGCATACCATCCAAGCCAATGATCGAGTATCGTTTTGTAGAGCGTATTGAAACCATCGTTCGCAAGCAAGGCAAATGGCTACAACGCCATCCCAATGAGGGTTGGGTCTCTTTCTCAATGCTGAGATAGAATGCCAATGAATACGGGGTACTCGGGCAGTTTGAACGATTATCATGCTTATCCAGGCCAAAACTTCAGCATGGGGTCGCCACACAGCGTAAAATGCTCATAACATTCGCAAGAAAATGCAATACATCAAGAGCAGTTCATGGTCTGCAATCGCTTTTTAAATCTTTGGCATAGGAGCCAAAGATGCTAGGATATATGGAAATCCTGATGTCGAAGAAGATGACCATCTGGCTATGTCGCACAACTGCGCGGATATTTCAAGCAGAGGGCTGTTTTGAAACAAAAACAACTTCTTCTCCCCTGTGCTTTAATGATCCAGGCCCCCGAAGACCGGGGATCACTAAGCCGTTACTCACTAAATTAGCGCGGTCACGAAGCCCTGGGAGATTTCATTCCGGGCCTGGATTACGTAGCTCCTCTCAGCATCAACGCTCTCACAAAACAACAACATTCGTTCACGGAGCCTGTGACCACGCGGATTTCTGTTTGCCGAGAAGTTTTCACCATGAGGCTTGCGTTCCCGCGGCGATACCTCTTGTTCCTTGCAGTGCTCCCCTTGGGTGCCCTCGCGTCGGTGCAGTTTGTCCAACCCGTCGCGGGAGCAGTGCTGAAGGGGGGAGAGACAATCAACTTGCAATGGAAATACAGCAAGAGCCCAGAGCAGCTGGAATCCAACCAGTTTAACCTGCATCTCTGTGCAGGTGGTAATGATGCTGACACTTTTGTGAGTGACCCGACCTTCCTCCTGTTTGCACCTTTTTCTGCTCTTGAAATTGGAGGAAAGGCTCACTCACTAATTGACAAATATTGAATAGGAGACATTAATGTCGCTCGTTCAGCAAGGTGCTATTGAAGAGATTACTTCATTATCTACTGTTATCGATCCCAAGTTGGGCGGAGAGCTTCCAAACGCGTAGTATGGATTTGTCCACCCACTTCGCCAACTGCACAATCTGACCGTGAAACAGTTTTCTTCAATTCTCCATTGATGCCTCCAATGGCACTATCTCTTTCTACTCAGACCGATTTACTCTCACCGGCATGACGGGCACATTCCCTGCACAGATTCTCCCGGGCTCTTGAAAGCCATTTTCAGGCACAACCACGGCCCCTCCAACATTCAATGACTTGCGCAAGCGACAAGCTGCCGTGCCCCCAGGCGCCCAAGCGGATTTACCCTACGATGAGCAAACCGCGCCACCGCGGTACGCGCCTCTTCCGAAGCTACCCCCAACAAAGATCACCCTCAAATCCGCTGCGCCTTTATTCCCAACCACCGCTTTCAAAATCGCGACTACACACTTGCCCAGACCAACGATCATGACCACCATCTCTCGTCCGCCAGAGACTGTAAAACAAGCTGAGAATACCGTGAGTTTTATCTAGTCTCCCCTAAACGGGAAGAGCTTTTTTTATTGGAATACTTTTAGCTTGCGGATGCTGATTTCATATTTCCTTGGCAAATTTTAGGGGGCACCCGCAGACCATGATGACGATGATGATATGCGCAACGTTTTGAAACGATGGGAAGATTAATACCCTC